TTGAAAGGAGGGACAAAACAGACAAACAAGGCAGGATTTCAGTAGAACGTCTGACATTCCAGGTTTTGGTTTGGTCCCATTTTATGTGCAAGGTCAAAAAGAAAAGGCACGGAAGGTAGTGAAGAATATGAAGAGTAACAGATGAATAATGAAAGATATTTTGGCGATAACATCAGGAAATCCGAAAACACCTTCGGATTTCAGTGGAGTCCTCGAACATAGAAGTGATAAAGGAACTAGATAAGGTCGAAGTAACTACGAATTGGTGACCAAGATTCTTTAGTTGCTCAAAGAAACAATAGAATAGGACCTCAAAATGTGGCGAAATGTATGAGATAGCATCGTAAATGTTAGAGAGTTCCACACAAATAACAAGAATTTTTTGCATACATTGATTCACTGAAGTACCATTATACATTTCGATCACCGTTTTGACACGAAGCGCCGTTATTATCAATGTTTAAGAGATGGTTTAGAGTGCTCTGAGCAATGGCATCGTATATGCGAGATCCTCTCACTTCCATTGGAACGAAGGAATACGTCAACAATTCTTCCAATATGAGAATTAAAGCAAGCTACGGACACTCAGCATTTCAGGTGAAACAAAAATTTTCCCTTTTCTTTTCTGAATTACGCTTTATTTCTTAATTTATGATGAACCGGCACATAGCATTGATAATAATACATCGTCCACTTTGCCTATTGCAATCTCTGTGATGAACTCGTTAAGCGATAGGTACAACTTTTCCAGTGAGAGATATACAGTCCACATTTCTGCAGAATGTGGTTCATTGTTGAGGTTTCTCCTAAATTGTACTCCAGTAAAACTAATACAGGCTTTGAAATATCGTCAAAATTCGTTTAAGAAATTCGCAACGAAGTGACCTCGACAGGTGTCACCTGTCATGGCCATTTCGACTGGTAGGAGCCCTTATGGAGATCATTCTCTCTCTGAAGGTTTATTTTGCCGCAAAGACTCTTTTTCAAAATTTTTTTCTGACCAAACTTGTAAGACCCAGATGCTCTGACTGACGTAAACCGGGAAATGCACTGTGCCATGCTTAGAAATGTACAAAAAACGCGAACAACTCCACTGACTGGCAATTTGGCCCGCAGCTGACCGTTGTTAAGACTGTAGTCCATATAAAGAATTATAACCACAACGCTGCTGAGATATTTGCAAAACTCTGGACCGCAGGTGTGTATGGTGGGGAACGAACGCGCTATTGTCCTTTCCGGGGAGTAACGCGTTCACCACCACACCATGCGGGTCATTTGTTTCGCCTGTCTCTCAGCCATTTCTATCGATCTTTGCCACAGCAATCACCCGTCAGCGGGTTTGATCTGGGGCGCCCAAATCGGCATAGAACCCAGTCCACCATAGACATCTGCGGTCCAGAGTTTTGCAAATATCTCAGCAACGTTGTGGTTGTGTTTCGCTTAGTACCCTGCCGCGAAATTATAGTAGGCAGAAAATAAAAAGGTACAACATAAAGAATTATAATTATGAAAAGTGTGGTTATGAAGAGCACAGGCTCGATATAGGCTTCAAGACCCTCCATATGCCAACCTCCGTGTGTTTGATGTGCATGACGGGCCACAGTATCATGTAGTTGCAAAAGAGGACGTATATGAAAATTTTGAAACGGCAGTTCAGTTGAAAACTATGCCATATCTACACGTAATTTGTAATCAAGAACAAAGAGTTTCTACACAAATCTCTCCCGATCCTCAGCACCCCTACCAAACCCTACCAACCCCTCCAGAAGAGTATCACCAATAGTTAATTACACAAAGACCCAAGCTACAATTAGAAGCTTGAACTCTGGCGTAGCTACTGAACCGAATAGTTCAGCAGATCTTCTAAGAATTAGCAATCGCCATCTCTATGCTCTCCTTATACGTCATTTCTGTAAATGGAACAACTACCCCAATCACTGGCAGAACTTCTTGTCTTCATTTTGCATAGAGAGAGCAATTGGAATGACCTTTGCAACCTTCGCCGGATCACTTTATTCAACACGTCATGTGATATTTTTATAAAGAATATGCCAGTGCATACCATTAGAAACATGCATCAAACCCAAGTTATTGCAAAAACTGAATTTATCCGGAAATCCATCCACACGGGCCACTTTCAAACAACTCAAGAGTGTACGCCTGCAAGGCGTACCATCCATCCATTATATTAACATCTGTTGAGAAGAATAAAACATTTGACAGTGTTAAACTCAACGTCATCTGTCCGCTTTAGCTAACCAAGATTTAGGGCGCGTGTGACGTAGTGGTGGGAGCCGCCCTGCAATACAAATGAGATTGATCCCCGCTCGCACGGCTCACCAAGCTCTCCATCCCTCCGGGGGTACCGAATTGGCACCAGACTTGTTTGGGAGGATAGCAACACTGGCTTGATACATCAGTAGGCCACCGCAAGTCATTGTTAAGGCCAGCTATGCATTCAATCACCTCTAACTGTGCTAAATGTAATCGAATGCATGGCGCATCTCTAAGGGATTGAGCGACACCAAGATGTTTATCCTTTGTCCTTTTATCCTTTATAGGACGCTTGAAATCGTACTTGCAGACTTCGATAGTCATTGTACGACGACAATTCCACTTTTCCACCGACCTTTCGTAATTTCTTTTAGCAAAAGGAAAACACCAGGATAACACAATATCAGCAAAGCTATTCGCCATCGCACTACAGTGGTTGATGTAGTCAGTCGACTGGAAGGGGAAATGACATTTCGCGATAGTAGATAAATTAAGAAGAAACTTGGTGAAAAAAAACAAGTTACGTTGAGTAACCTTACTGCGCTAATGTGTGAGTGCAGCCTATACATGTTTGCATATACGTATGAAAATATCTTGAGGGATGCGTCATGGATTCGACTTCATCAAGCATAGTTTGGAGGTGACTGAATGCATATCTGGCTTTTAAAAAGACTCGTGTTGGCCAACCAATGTATCGGGCCACTGCTGCTATCCTCCCAGAGAACTCTGGTACCAATTTGCCGACCCTGGAGGGAAGGAAGGCTTGGTGTACCATGGGCAAGGAGATAGATTCCACGTGTGTGTTGCAGGGCGCTTCTGAGCACTGCCCAACACGTGCCGACGTAGCATATGTGCACATTTAATTTGGGTGAATGTTAGTAAATGCTAGTCAGGAGAGAAAAACCCATAAGTAACTATGAATCGTTCTTAAACTATAGTGAGAACTTGGTGATTATTTTGCAACTACTAAGTGGAAATGCAGGATTTGTTTCCAGGTTGTAGAAGCACAGGCCGTTGACTGCAACCCAGGAATGTTAGCGCACCCGATAGCCCTGCTTAGATGGTTTCATCTCGTAAGTCATCTTTCCAAATTTCAACGTTTTAGGAAATTTTTTCCTAGTGGTTTACGGCCTATTCGTTGCTGGAGTTATATCGGTCGATAGCGCCTATCTAATTGAGGAACAGTTCAGTATTTCCATTGCGTAGAATACGTAAGAGAAAATCAGTACTCCGAACCACCGCTGTCCCTAGTAACAACCTTTTCTTAAAGTAACAAATCTTCTTGCATTCCAAAAACTGCGACTAATGTCTGTGGGGACGACTTTAGAAAGCAATTGGTTATCTCGAGGTTCCATAGAAATAGAAACTTCTCCAAACAGCAAATTACCAGTCATAGCAATGTTTAGACACATACGGTTCTTGTTGGTGATCCGGCAATTTATGTCCTTAGGCAAGTATTATTCCTAACATTCTTTCAACTTGTATAAAAGAGCCATTTGGTAAACCTAGACAAAGGAAGGATGGCATAGTTAGAAAAACTTCGGCAAAATCTCTTTTCAATATATATATATATATATATATTCTTAAAGTAACATAATAAAGTAATATATAAAACACTATGTAGTTTCAACATATGGTCATATATACATGAGGAAAATGTACACGTTTATACGACACCTATTGAGAATTTGTATAGATCCACCAGTTCTTTCTTTCGGTTCCTTGTCTCGCTTCAGTGATTCAAAATCGCATTCGACTTTGCGTGTGAGTTCGGCTGTTAAATGACGTTTCTGTCTCGTTTATGAGAGTCGTCTAATCCCGATAAAACAGGTTTCCTTTATTTCTAGGCTTGCTTTTTTAGACCGTTTCAAGATCATCACCAAACAAATTAGCATATTCCAGTGGATCGAGCCGAGGTTCTCCAAAACTGGTCTGAAACCAGTTCGCCAGTTCTGGTGAAATTCAGGATTTGATGGACCCGAAGCGGGTCAAAGCAGCGATCATGCATATACTGCAACGCACCTCCAAACACTGTGTTTCCTACTCCATCTGTCATATAAATGCTTGGATATTTGGATTGCCCGTTTTCATTGGTTGTGAGGGTCCCAGCATAATTTCCATTTTTTCGGAGTTCTACTGATTTAGCCATTGCGTTTCCCTGGTGTCCCGAGGTAAGTCTAGCCAAAGTCGGCCCCAGGTTGACACCACCATATGCACTCGCCGCCCTTATGGAACAGAAGGGGATTTGACATCATGCGACTAATTTGATGCCAAGACGCTAGTGCATCCTGGTATTGATTTATTCTCATCTGGCCTCCCTAGACCTCTTCTCGTTTTGGGAGGCCCTGCTAGTGGTGCGAATCCCCCGCTGCACATCGCAGTCCAACAACTGAGATTGCCTCTGAGCCACGACGAGGCGGTAAACCGTTATATAAACATTTCTCAGCAAAGGAAATAATTGAAATTTCCACGAAAAACACTCTTGATAGCTTTGCACATGTTTGATAACCCTAGGATGAAATACAATAGCATGCATATAACAGAAAGGATATTGAGATATGAGATATGAGCAATAGCCGGATCCTCAGGCGATTTTCGAACCCGGATTATCCTTATCGAGGGCATCACACTAACCGATCTTTTGTTTGCATTTCTCTTAATCAGGTTTTTATTCTATTCCTGCAAAGATACACCGGCCTCTTTGTGGTTGTAATTGCTGGTTCGAACGCAACCTCAGTTTGCGAATTTCGCTCGTATCCCAACATCCATGCGGCTGTACTAGGCACCATACCTTCCCATGGAGAATAAATCAGCAATGAACAAACTAGATACAATGGTATACACCTTCTTCGCTTCATAAGGTAAAACGTGGTTGATAAATAGATTTATGGGACAAACGTTTCAACGTCTTCGCCTTCATCAGAGCCTATGATCCGAGTCGATGGTCCACATCATCTCGATGTGAAGTCTTCGTCGTCATACCGAGACGCACCTTCCTGAAGAGAACACCGCTCAAATGAGATAAACTCACCCAGTAGCACTCTTCTATACAGGATGAGTTGGTACGACTATCCTTTTTGTTTTTCAACGGGAAATCCATCCTCCAGCAGCTGGTATTATGTTAGCTAGCTATTATTATTATGAAGAGAAACAACTGTAGAACATCTACTCGGGTTATCGGCTATGATGAAGACGAAGACGTCGAAACGCTGCCCGAATAAATCTATTTCTCAAACGTATATTAGCTTAACAAATCAAGAATGTACTGAGTATTATTACCAAGGTTAAATGACGGTCGCTTTGAAAACCAATGGCACATAATTGTTCGAAGCCTTTTTTAGCTCATGTACTTCATGTTGCAATGGCTTGTGCAAATCACCTGTGGCAATGAAGCGTGTACAATGATTATGAACGTATTTGGATATACTGCAATGGGACAGGTATTGACTGTAATTGCTCTTCGACAATTCTGTTGTCCTGCAATGAGAAAGCTACGCGTGTGTATCAAAAATCAAACAAAGCGAGATAAATGAGCCTCATTTTTCTGTCCCCGAAAGACCCTCCCTCATACAAAGAATTAGGTAAGAGGGCTGCTAAAGCGTCAAGTCTAGGCCACTAAAATCTATGCTGCCTAAATCTGGTATTAATAGGGTACGATCCACACTTATAATGCACGCTCACCTGTATCTGAGTCCCCCACTGATGACCTGGCGATGCAGGCTAAGAGGGTTAAAAGTGATGTTATCGGACTTGTTGAGACGAGGAGACGCCATCATCCTCTTTCGTACAGGCGAAGAACTGTGCCTCGGAAAATCTTGTAATAAACGAATGAGTCACATTGATGTCCTCGTCAGCACGAGTTTCACGGAAAATATCGATTCCTTTGAACAAGAAACAACCCGATTAGAGGCTTACTGTTAAAGAGAAGTGAATCCACTGAGCTCTGACAGCCTTCATCACCTACGTACCGGTATCAAACTATGACGAAGATAAAGTAGAAGCGTTCCATGCGGAGTTGAAGAAGTTTTATAAAGGAGACCACACCTTCTTTATGGCACCCTTAACTATTTCAACGCTGAAATTTGACCAAAGAGGACGTCTGAAGAAGAGCACACTGGGGCCCACAATTTGCTATGAAACAATGTGAGTAGGTGTTTGATTCCATCATGAAGACGTCGAATTTATAAAGACATAGACCGCATTATAGTAAATCCAAGATTTTGTCTAACCGATGTCGCAGTTGACCCAAAATTTTACGCGGGATTGGACCCTCGCCTCCTTCGCGCGCAATTTCTCTTTATACGGAAAAGGAAAAGCAAGCGAATTCAAGAAACGAGATCCTTATGCCATCTTGAATTGGGATTTACTAAAAGTCATTAGCCAGCCTTGGGAAGACCCCGTCATTGATGACATCGACGAGGAATACGGATGGTCTACTTAACACGTTAGCGCTGCGAAATCTTTGAAAAATCTATGAGTGAAAGCAAAAAAAGTTCGGAGGTTACCAAAACACATCTGTCTCCAAAACACTCAAGCTGATATGTCAGCATGGAATTTCGCGAGCTACACAACCGCCAACTCACATCTAAACTTGCCGAACAATGCAAATAGGCAATAGATGAACAACTCAAGGAGAGAAGGGCAACAGTTAAGATCGAAACCGCGAAGGCTGGGAAAAGCATTCACAAAGGCCACCGAAGCAACAAGATGACTGCACTTCGACGTCCAGGCAAAAGAATTACAGCCTCCAGAAAGGCAATGGAGAAGTCATTTACGATTACAACTCCGATCTCTTCCATAACTACGTCTTCCTGCCCATGTATTAAATAGTGGAGGATAGATATGTCGTCCCACCTGTTCTACCTTCCGAAAACTGATATTGCTACTTCGGTGTTGACGAACCAAGCAACACCAGGACCGAACAGGAAATGATCTGAACACCTGCAGAACTTACCGCCGGTCCACGTAAGAATATTGGCCAAGCCCTACACATGCTTTGTGTCAGCAACTCACTAGAAGACGAGCAAAGTCGTGCTGTTGTTCAAGAATTGTGACTTCCATGATAGTGGCATCTATCCCCCACTCAGCTTACTCTCTGTCGTCTAAGAGCTTTTCACTCTAGTCAACCTAAGCAGGATTGACAGAACAGTAGACGAAGGACAGCCATGTGAGCAAGCAAGATTTCCAAAAGGAATCAGTATGATAGACCACATCTACATGACAACAAGACATTAAAGTAACGCGGGAGTACACGAGTCCGCTCTATCTCCTTCATCGATTTAAAGACACCTTTGACTTGGTTGATACAGAAGCAATCGTGGAATCCCTGGTCAGCTAAAGCTTCCCTCCTCACTATAAAAAGTTTCTTCGTGATATATATAGAAATTTCACAACTAAAACATCATCATTATATAACAATACTAACATTGATGCCAAAAGAGGAATGTGGCAAGGCGATACTATCTCGCCAAAATTATTTACTGCCACTTTCGAGAACGTTGTGTGGATATTGGAATTGGACGCCATGGGAGTGAAAATACATGCTCGGCAATTAAACCACATTCTCTTTGCTATTGGCATCGTTCTTACAATACCAAAGACTAGCCAGGCGAAACGAATACTTGTTAGCTTTGATATTGCCTGCGCAAGAACACCCAGAAACCTGGTCGCTACGTAAGAAGGATGGAAGATCAATGTATTGAACGCGCAGTCGAAAGGACGGTGCTAGGAGTACCCCTTGCCAGTGTGGGCATCTGAAGCTCCGAATCCCCACTTCGGCGGTCAAAAATCAAAGGGACCATTTTGTACATCAAACGTTGAAAGATAAGGTGGGCCGTACACGTAAGGCACGTGAACGGCAAACAATAGGCAAAAGCCATTAGTGACTGGGTTCCTCGGGATGCCAAACGTGCCACAAGAAGACCACAGAGCCGATAGTTAGAATTCTGCATGAAAGTCCCTGAAGAATGACATGATGCTCAGCGAATAGTTAGAACATGCATAATCTATTTAGGCTATTCATGCCTGCTTCAAGCACAAATGAGAAATTTCCAAGGGCACGCGCCACTCACTCAACGACCAGCGAAATGGGACGTGATACAGGTGATAATTAATCCCATGGTTAACGCGTTGATATATACGTCACATCCAAGGCCACGTGATTCAAAGTGCTTAAATGTGAAATCTCAAGTGAACGTTAATTGGTATGAAGGCGGAAGCAAGAGAAACAAGTGGATGGGAAGAAGAAAGAACAACGTGGAGGGAAACGAAAAGTGAGATAAGCTAAGAAGAATAGAAAAGAGAGAAGTGAAGAGGATACAGCTTGAACCAAGAATGGTGTTTGAGTGGAAAATGGGGAATGTCGCATTTGAAGTACGAGTTGGGAATGTCGTAGACCCGAAAATAAGGAGGCTATAGCAAAACACAGAAGCAAATAAGCTCTAGAGTGCTAACAGTTAGTATTTAAGAGTCGCAATAAAACTTTAAATTAACCTCAACAAATACAGAAGCAATCTTCTTATCCAGTTGTTCGTCTTACTCATTCTTTTGCTGCTGTCAATAATATGTGGCCTTATACTGGTAGGATATGGACTGAACTTCCACCGCTCAAAGTACCTGCCTATTATTATAGCTATGGTTTGTCTTTCCCGTAATTACATTTGCAATTCATAAGAGTCTGTAAACATAGTTACTTTGATCAGATATGAAATTCTATTGGTTCTAGGAACGACTGTATGCGATTCTCGGGATTCTGCTTTTCATGATTGCTGCTATATTGGGTACATGGATGGCTGTGCGTACTGATGATGAAACTGTAAGTGATTCTTCCTAAAGTGCATATTAATTCCAAGACTGTTGGAATATTGTTTTACTTAGCCATAATTAAGATTATCAAACGGTCGATGTGCCAATTGTTTTTCTTTCTTACGAATTTCAGCACTTTTTCATTTTCTGGAAGATTCCGCTAAATACTCAACACTCATTGTCAAGTTTGCTAAGCTTAAAAATAGAGTACTCTTATCCTTTGTACTTTATAATGATTTCTTCAACCGTAAAATGGTTCTTTTACCTACACTTTTGTCGCTATGAGTTATGGACATACTTTTCTGGGGACGAGAATTCCACAGCGCACTCATTCCAGCAAAAGGACCTCATGTGCAAAAAATTGAATGAGTTGCTAGCCATGCTTAAAATTGTCTTATACACAAATACTTACATCTTACCTTTGGATATACATGCACTTTATGCTTTTAATACCCTAAGCTTAATACAATGACGATTAAAAGACACATGACGGATGAAGTATATTGCATCTCAGGTGAACTATCAAGGAAGAGGGAAATTTCATATCCGAGGTCAATGGATAGCTGCAGCGGTAAGCAGAAACTCATGATATTATTGTATTAAAAACCTTTTAAACTACAAAGAAATATGAACCATTTGATCAAAACGATGTATGTCCTTCAGGTGTTCGAGTTCTTGATGATTTTTGTGTTTCTTGTCGAGTTGCTGCTACAACGTCGGGAGGTGCGTTGACTGGAAAATTTACTGAACACGGTAACACTTGATAGCATAGAAATGCACTACATCGCCGCAACATAAGCAATTTCTGTGTAAACTTGGGAAAAAGCAACAGAAGACTAATTTTTTCTAAATTTCACTTCTAGTTTTTTAGTAAGTTGAAATGTTCAGAAAATTTTGAACATTTCCGGATCTGAAAGGATATTATGTTAGCTCGCTTTTATACACATCCATGTGGAGGCCAGGAACTGAAAATTGGGCGATGAAGAAGCATAGTGAATTCGTGATGCAGCTCAACCGCACATGAATTTTCGTTACGTAAGACTTCTCAAGCGCATTATTGGCATGTTGCCAAACTGCTCACAGTGTATAAATCCTTACTAAAAATGAGCTATCTCGTATTTGCTTCAAGGTATAGGCTACTGCAATCAGTCTTTGTCGGGCCCAATTGATTTGTACCTTTTGCAAGCAAGTAGACATGTTCGTACATAAGTATGTGGTAGCGTTTATGGGTATATGAATTGTATCCAGTACATCAGTTTACCAAGACGTGAAAACAAGTGACTGGGAAGCGCATAGAATGGGTTTCGTAATTGCCTTCAACAAAAGGAGCACCAGCTATGGCCCAGCCCTGGAAAATTCCAGTCGTCACTCTGTCCCCAAATGGATAACAAGTAAATTATGTCGTTCGCAAAGCGAGTGTAATCATAGGTTACCGAGCTGCTCTTGCATGACAAATGGAATCTAGAAAAAACCTCGTTCGCAATATATAGAAGTAGTTACTTCCACTTAGATGTTCGACAAAAGCGAGTAAAGAAGGAGCAAAAGTCACTTTTTAGGACATTTTCCGATGCCCACAAATACGAACGCCTCATAAAACAAATAAGAAGGTATTCACTAATTATGAAAACATTGATAAAAATTGTGCCGAATATTGGGAATATTTTGCAATTCATTTGGAATCTAAATCAAGCACTCACTATCAGTAGTCTTGCCTTTGAATTATTTACAGCGGTTGCGTGCTTGTCTAACAACGTCTTCCATACTCTTACTGAGCATCAACAACTATTTTAATTAATTGCACAAAATACTAGCAGCGACAGACCTCTAGTGAGCTCGAACAGTTGTCATAAATCCATTGAGATATTCGAAGGAAGGAATCCTCACCAGCAAATTAACCAACACCGCGGTTTCGCCATGGAGCATTTTCCTTCTAAGTTTTCTTGAGCTGCGCACCAGTTAACTTCTAGAAAAATCGGCTAATGGCATGCACTCATCACAAACCAGAAACAAACCATTTGTTCTACCAAAAAACTTTTTTCGTCGTACTGTGATTCGTTGGTCGTTATTTCCATTTCTATAACAGCTTCGAGTTGATATCGTGAAGCATTTTAACAGTCCATAGTATAAAAACAGCATTAATCACACTTAATTTTAACCCTGCATAGTAGTAAGTGTATTGTTTTGACTACAGTAGCTCTACCCTCTATCGGCATTAGTATCCATTTTTCGACTACCTTCGCACCTATCTTTCAGCGTCGCTTTTCGAGAATGTAATAATCTTGCCGATAAATCGGTTTTTCTTTTAGAGAATTTTATTCTTCAAGAGCCTTTCAATAGTTGAGGAAAGTGGGAGCGAAAATGTGCGCTACTTTCTGCACAGTTTTATAAATTTGGTGAATATCTGAAAACAATAATATTAACCCTTTCGCGACCGCTATCATTTTCGCGTGCCTGGCTCATCCGATGGCGTGTCTTTGGAACGCGCTTGAGATGTCATTGAAACTAGGCATGTACGGTCCCAAACCTACAGCAGTGTACATACTAGGACCATTACGCATGACTGTGAAAAGGTCAATCTGCTTACGAACTTGGTGAAAAGGGGAATATAGTCACCAGCAACATATCTGATAATAATTTTAACTTATTATTTACGGTCTAGTGTTTTTAACGGCAGGGTATATATTGCGAAATATAACTTCAATAGTCTGAGATATACAACTAAGATGGTGCTGATATATTTGCAAAACTCTGGACCGCAGGTGTCTATGGTGGGGAACGAACGCGCTATTTTCCTTTCCAGGGAGTAACGCGTTCACCACCACACCATGCGGGTCCTTCGTTTCGCTTTTCTCTCAGACTAGTTCTATCGATCTTTTGTCATCAGCAATCACTCGTCAGCGGGATTGATCTGGGAGGCCCAAATTGGCAACAAACCCAGTTAAGCTGAGGCCGCAGTTATAATCACAATTTCAACTTATTATTTACTGCCTACTCTTTTTAATGGCAAGGCATATATTGCAAAATATAACTTCAATGATGCCAGAGTTTTACAAACATCTCAGCATCGTTGAAGTTATCTGATGATAATTTCATGGAAGTGACTAATGTTATCCTACTTTTTGGAAACTATGTCACAAAAAACAAAATTGAAATGATTTACATTATAAGCGGAGACGGTGCAACCTTTTTTTTCAATCAAAGTGGTTTAGAACCACATGGTTGTTGGCAGTATATCTCGGTGTCGAACTGCGACGAGGATCGGAAAGTATTCGTAGGTTGGCAAAGCCACTCGTGCTGGGAACTACTGTCAGAAACTGTCAATGTCATAGATGAAGCAGCCCCAAATTATAGCAAACATTCACTTGATCCGCGAAAACGACCCACCCTGTGGTAATGAAATGGTGACAACATAAAAATTACTCGATAAAAATATAATTAATATAATATATTAACACATTGTTATATAATATATTGTTATATTAATATAATAATATAATTCACATTTCTTGTGCGTTTTAGAATGTAATCTTCATCTCGTTCAAGGAGTTTTGCAAGTTCTCTATATTAAAGCAAACTCCTGAGAATGGAAATCACTTCCTCATCTTTCCCCATTTAGAACTACCCGTTCATCGACAAGACCTACAGAAATGCACCAGTCGGGAAACAGATCGGAGTTTATAACGCATCACCATCTCTAACAAGAAACAAGACACCTGTGAAGGACGAATATTTCACTCGTCAAAGTATGCTCTAATGAGATTCCGCTTGACGATTTTAGAAAAACATTTGGTTTAAAGTGATTGTATGAAAGCCATTTAACTCATAAATATTGCTACACTCTTTAAATGACAGAGATCTTTCCGTATACATAAATGCATATATATGCTCACATAAATATATACACACACATGTATATACATATATACGTATATATGCCTACAGATGTGCTTTCAAAAACCACTACTATATATTTGACTGCCATAACACTACTTTTTCTCAACATTGTATCCAAGAGTTGCCAGTATATTTACAAAAAAAAATCATTGCTAAAGTAAAACACCTTAATCTTTCTAGAGAAACAACCAACTGAAATCATTTTTGAAGTAAATCTTACATCTTATGTAACATTCGCACACAGCCTGATTACCTCTGTCTTCTGATAACTGTCATTATTTTGAATTAATGTATGATTAATTTGTGCAGTACGGTTAAAACTGATTAAAATTTTAAGCGAATTTTTACTTGAGATTGTTGAAGAAAACGTAAAGAGTATAGCGCTCGACGATGATTTACCCACTAATGATGTACCATCCATTTGACTCCATTCGTAGTACCGCAGATTACAGTCTATACAACGACTTGCAGTGCCCTTCGATGTTTAAAGTCAGTTTTTCCATCGAAACAAATCTCGTACCGACCATTTTCAAGGAGATGGTAAATAAAAAATAGGCTACGGAACTTCTTAGTAAAGCTTAATATTGGGCGAATTCAACTTATGTTGTTAGTTTTTCGAAACCCATTAATTCTCGAATAAGTGGAGAAGCAGAAGGTCGTGGTTCATATTAGGTTTTCGATTACATGAATTGAGTTACTAGTGGCGCCTTTCATCTCTCGTTTATCACTTGTTCTCCTACTGTTCGCCGAGCGACTTGACCAAGCTCCGGTAATTCTCACATTTCTCCCTGTTGCGTTGAAGGCTCTTCCAGTGGGACTCATTCGCTCTAGAGATTTGCTGAACATCACAATTTTCACCTAGGGTTTTCGTGAGGAACCGCGACCGTCTGGTCGGTGGTTTTCATGCAGTACGTTTGAAATCCCGAGGATTCCAGTCGCTAACGGCTCTTGCCCGTCGGGTGTGGTTCATACGCATTAGCTGCCAGGCCTAATATATTTTCGACTACGGAGCATATAGAACAGTGTCCTTGTTCTTCAATCATTGTCGTAGATGGGAGCTTTGGATATCCTCTCTCTCACTTGCGTGACACGTGATACTCCTAGCACAGTCCTTTCGACTGAGCGTTGTATAAGGATGAGCCTCTCATACTGCTTATGCAACTACCAGGTTTCTGACGCATACGTTAAGGCAGGAATTATCGTGGAATCGAAAAAATGGGCAAGGTGTTCTTCCTTCTGTTCACTAGATCCTCGATGTTCTAAGAAGCTCCCTAAACCGGTTGTTTGCCGCTGTTCAACTCGAGAGCTAAGCCGGTCATCATGTTGATTTACTGAGCTAGATAGATGTAAGTTGAATAATTGAAGATATTCATTCCATTGAGCATGAATAGGAATATGTAACCAATCAGCTCCTCATGAACATCGTTTTTGTGGGATTTAGCCGACGATGAATTTTTCCACAAGATTTATCAAAGTCGACAAGCATTCGTTCCGCTCGGCTAGTGTTCGGTGTTATCAGCAAAACGAAGAAAGTGTAATTCCCGACCATCGATTTTCTCTCCCATAATATCCCATTCCAATGTTCGCATAACGTTCTGGAGGGTAGCGGTAAATAATTTTGGCAAGATGTTGTCGCCTTGCTTAACCCATCTTTTGACGTCGACGTTGATATTGTTGCAGAATGGTGATATCTTCGCTGTGAAATTTTTGTACAGCTCATAAAGAATCTTTATGTACTGAGTAGGGATTCCTTGACTATCAAGGGCTTCCCAGACTGCTTCTATCTCAACTAAATCAAAGGCCTTCTGTAAATCGATGAAAGTGAGACAGAGCGGTCTTTTGTACTTTCGCGATACTTCAATGAGCCTTGTTATCGTGTGGATGTGGTCCATTGTACTAAATCCTCTTCAAAACCCTGCTTGTTCACATGGCTGTCCTTTGTCCAGCGTTCTGTCAATCTTGTTTAGAATGACTCGTGTGAAAAGTTTGTAGACAAAAGACAGTAAACAGATTGGGCGATAGTTGCCAATATCGTGGACATCACCTTTCTTGAAGAGTAGCGCAGTCTTCACGGTTTTGCACCGAGTAGGAACTTTGCATTCTGACAAGGAACTTGTGGACAGCCGAACCAGTGTGTTGACGAGGACTGGCGGAAGGACTTCAGATGACGAGATCTTATCCTGACAGGACCACATATTCTTCTATTCTTTACCCACCAAATGGCACGCCGGATTTCGGAAGTGAGAACCGATGGTGAGACATATCTATCTTTCTTCATTTCATATGAGGGGAGAAGGACGTGGCTATTGGAGAGATCAGAGTAGTAATCGTGAGTGATTTTCTCCACTGCCTTTCTGGACGCTGTAACTATACTGTCTAGTCGTCGAAGTGCAATCATATTGGTTTCATTTTATTTCCACATTGGATTCGGTAACCCTCGTCCACAGGGTTCTTCGAACATTTCACGCGCTGTTTTGGCTGCGGCTTGAGGACCACGTCTTCTTAACAAATGTACGCCATCCGTCCTCTTATCTCAAAAAAAGAAAACGGGAGCTCAGTCGGAAAATTGAACTAATTGGCTTGTCACATTACTTTTATCAGATCCACTCATATCTTATAATACAATTGTTAGTTGGCGGGAAATTACTGCACTTCTCATTTGCTGTCCTCCGGAACATGATGATATCCGGAGCAATTAGCATGCACATTTATTCACTCAGGGGCACGTGTAGCGCTGTGGGTAGAGGTGCCCCACAATACAGAAGTGGTCGTTGATTCGACAGTCGACAAATTGCTACCAGAGTTGCCTGGGAGAATTGCGCAGCTGCTTGACACATCAGTAGACTACCGGAAGCCATAATATAAGTCGGATGTGCATCGAGTCATCCCCTATTATGCAACGAATGAAGTCGAACGCATATTTCTCAACAATTTTTGAACTGTGACGAGAAGTGGTTATTCAGAAAAAACACTTGATTTCATTAAGCATTTAGACCGGAGTTATTATATGAGTCCTCCCAACGGTTTACCGCTTCATCGTTGTTGAGAGATGTTCCTGGGTGTCGGGCTGCGATGTACAGCGAAGGGGTTCATCCCCCTGGCAGAGTCTTCCAAGCTGAGAAGGAGACCGGCGTTTCCATCAGGAAGTCTAGCTAAGAGCAAACCAATGCCAGGATCCACCACGGTCCTGGTATCAAAGTCGCATGGTGGCAAATCTGCCTCTAATTCACAACGGCTACGGCTGCCTGTGGTGATGAAGACCTGAGGCAGACTTTGGCCAGGCTGACTTCGAGATTCCAGGGAACCAAAATGGGTTAACCAGCAAATCTCCAAAAAGTGTTTATTCTGGGGACCGCACAACCAGTGTGGACAGGCCGTTCAACTATCAAGTATTATATGAGTGCCCCGTAATAAAGAAGTGATACGTCTCTATATTCCAAAAATATGTGCTCTATAATTTAGTATTGTCACTCAAAGTTGATGGATCGCGGTTTCCCTGAACAAATTTTCAGACACGAGTAAAAGTGTTCTGCGTGCAAAAGAGAAGTTAAAGCTCGCCCACTGGCGTTCTGTAACAGATAATAGCTATTCGCACTCATCCAAATCCTGAAAACATCTCAAATGTAAAGCTCACTTTAAAAAAGAACTTTTATCACTACATTTGGTGGCAGACCGACACAAGCTGAATCTATCTGGTTGGATGAATGAAGGGTGAGATAAGCGTTTCCGACATATATAGTGAGGATAAACGAAAATGAATGTGATGAGGAGTAATACATACATAAAAATAGACGTGAATGACCGATCAAACACATAAAACACAAATAATATAAGACATAAAGATATCAGAGATATCACTTGGTACTGCAACACGGTAGATAAGATCGCAAACCGCAATAGTGCAATTATCCTTCAACATTCACGAACATTTGTTTTCCTCAAACGGCACTACAACACAGTGACACACAACACTACTATTATTTTGATCTGTACTGTACAAATACGACCGTGTGATACTTCTGCTTTTTATGTCTGTACGAATGAGCTGTAATGTGAAGTGCATAGATGGTAGTTTCAATGTGCGGATCCTAATGATCGTACGTCATAAAATTGTCGTTAACCAGTATGATTAGTAGTTGAACCATACAATAAGTCCACCTGGTAGTTAAGAAAAAGCAGTGAGAAAAACAAAAGTATGGAAGGAGTGATGATGGTTGAGACGACAATGCCAATCACACGATCAGGAAAACAAAACAACGAACGCGAAAAAAGCATATAACGAGCAAGTTTGTCATCTGACGAAGATGACAAACTTCACAACATGTTCAGAGGTTGTGCGTAAGACATGAAATATACCGACTCGGCGGAATGCTCGTTAAGATAAGAGAATTTGAATAGAGATGGTTATTTAAATCATACAAGCGGAAAAATACCAGACTACGATATCTTCACGCTTTGCTGTCAAAAAATGAGTACGTTGGGTTTTCATAGCCATTAACCTGCATTCCGGCCACGTGGCGCTCTTCTGGAGTGTAAACATCGACCTAGAAAGTGAATGTTTTTCCTCTATACTCTTGCATAAAAAGCGACCTCGGAAAATTTCCCTTCATTCTAGATTATCATTCTAACGAGAAATCTTCATAATCTTTCAAAATCTTCAACATATCTTTGATTTAAAAAGTCAGCAATTTTGAAAGCTTTTTTAATGTTACAACTAATGACTTCAGTCAACTAAAGGAAATAGCGCGCTCGTTCCCCACCGCAGACGCCTGTGCTCCGGAGTTTTGCAAATATCTCAGCAACACTGTAGTTGTTTCACAAATCATACGCTGCCGTGAAAACTTGTAAAAGGCAGTAAATAAAAAGTGAACTAATGACTTTTCCTTATAATTGCATGGATTTTGATAGTCGAGATGAGTTGAACATTTGGTTGTGTTCTCACAAATATACAGTGATAAAAAATTCACTGTATTTCTAATCTTAACACATTTGCGAAGGATTTGTTCAGGGCTGCAGTGATTCTTCCCAACAGTCGACCAGGAGACTGACGATGATCTAACAACATTAACACCCTTGGTCACGCATTATTAGGTGGCTCGGAAGTTAAGGTCCGATTCGCAGAGTTACTTTCCCTGTATATGTAGTGGTAATTCGAAGACTAACATTATTTAGTCCGCACCATATGAATAAATTATAACACGACCTGCGTTTTTGACAAATTTTAAAGGTTAGAACTTCGAATTTCAGAACATCAATTTTGATAAGTCTGTTTTCTATGAATTCAAACTCGGAAATAAGCAGCGCAAATGGCTCGAAGCATTAATGGGCTATGGAACCAAGGAAGTGTCGACAAACGAACAATGCTATGTTGCCTGTTGCAATCATCAATCGTGTGGATTCTAAGCGGCTCTTCTTCCTCAGTGGAAGACACACAAGAAAAACAATAGATTTTTCGAAAAGTTGTTGACTATGTGATTACCATTCAGATTACCACTCATTCTTCTGTTTGTGTTGTTGAAGCATTTGGCATAATAAATTCCGTATCAATATACCTTTTCAGACTATGAAGAAGGCAACACTGCCGAGACGTCAATTTTACCCTAATAAAGAATAAAGTAACACACCGTGCTTGCTAAGCAAGAATATAGAGAATTAATTGATCAATGCTGAAGTTAATATAAAGTTGGTCCAGAAAATGCTACGTTGCCCTCAACAAATTCCCCCCGGCAAATACGACCATGAAGAACGGGAGGGTCGCGGAAGTCCTTATGTTATTGACGACGATGAATTGAAGGCATTTATGGAAGCAAATACATCAAAAACTCTCCAACAATTTGCAGAAAAATTCGATGTAAGCTTTAAAAACATCTAAAGAAAATTGGAACGGCGATGAAGTTCGACAACTGGGGACACCATGAATTGGATGACAACCAAATAAACCGCAAAGGGATAGTCGCAAATTCTTATCCGCAACAGGAAAGACCAGTTTCAAGACCATACTGCGAAGCACGACAAAAAATAGATCCGTTACTACAATTAGCCACGATCGGCTCCGCGACTCGACCACGGTGAAAGTCCGCAGCACTTCCCAAAGCCGAAATTGGATCGAAACGAGGTCATGCTAACCGTTTGTTGGTCTACGACTGGTGTGATTCAACACAGCTATCTGAATCCAGGTGAAATCACTACGGTGAAGAAGTACACCCAGCAATTCGACAAATGCACCAGAAACTTCGACGGCTGTGCCACGCATTAATCAACGGAAAAAGACCAACTTTTCTCATGATAACACGTGGCCACACGCCGCACAGTCGACGTTGGAAAAGTTAAACGTGCTATGATCGAAATTCTGCTTCATCCACCATATTCGCGAGAGCTCTTGTTTACCAAATACCACTAATTTGTGAAAAAATGAGTGGCACCTCGACAACTTCCTGTGTGAGAAATACTTCCGAAACCAAGGAGCTTAAACTGCTTTCAACGACTTCGTAGCCTCCAGAAGTCTACAATTTAACGAAACTAGTATAAGCAAAGCTACTTCTCAGTGTCAAAAATGTATAGTTTCTAATTGTCTCACTTCGATAAGCAAAATTTATTCTGAGGTGAGATATGGCGCTTTGGAAACGCAGGTTGAAATCGGACATAAGTTTCCGAAGAACCTGATAAAATGTTTCACCGTTCTCATTGTAGCGAGGAGGATTTCCGTGGCATCTCGCAATATACAGTTAGGTTCATCTCCTGCTTTGCTCACCTATGTGAATGAGTTCGACTAATTTACTAATCGGAACCCTAGTTCAAAGCAAATCTATGGAAAAAAATTGACGTCGTCTGGGGAGACCTTCGTAAAACACCAAGCTTTTCCCCGATCGTTAAGAATAGGTGAATATGTACGTAGTAACGATTCATGAACGTACTTGTACTACCATCTCAAGATCGCAGAAAAACTGTCAAATTGGCGAAATAGCGATAAAGAAGACGACCGCGCTGGGAACCCCTGACAACTCGAAAATGGGTATTGCCCACCTTTCTATGTTGTATCAGCAGATGTGTCTATGATTAACACTAGAGAGCGAATGTGATTCCAGTACCACTTGAAAACGAACTGAGAGTGGCTACTTTCCATCATTTACCGCATTACATTTATTCATATGGAGATTATCTCCATCATACATTTCATAAAAACTTTAAAGCTAATAGCAAAAAAAATGTCAAAATATGTTACCATGTGAAAAACTTGACTTGAATTTAAAAAATTTTCCATAAGGATAAACAAGCACCAATCAAGCGACCAGGATTTTTCTGTTTTAAAGTTTACTTGCTAGTTTTCATATAAACAATCTTGAAGAAGTTATAGTAAACTTCTGGACACACCTCAATAAATCCTTGATGCGCTCGTCGACGCCGTATGATGGTCCCAACCAAAACAACCAGTGAGACGATAGCAACTGATCCTACCATAAACATCGCCTGTGACGAAGAGAGCAAGCCGCTTTCATGATAGGTAGATTTCTTTAAAAAATTTCCAAAATAGTTAATAGCAAACAATGTGAAATTTTCTATTCCAGGCAGCTAGTAATACTCCTCATTAGAAAAGGGTCGCAACAGCTATACTTCTGTTTTTGAACTCCGGCTGAACGGGTAAAAATGCTGTCTAACTTATAAAGATGGAAATGGTTGAGAATTACAACCTGATTTTGTATTAGCTTCTCCTGACGATAAAACGCTGGCTTTTCGTCAATAATCGGCTCGATATCCACGCGAAGCTCCTTGGTTGAATCCTAAAAGTTCACCTTAAAAAGTTAGGATGTTAAAATAGTGGAAGTGTAGTTCATTATAGATTTCGTGGATTTATGATAAAATTCCAACTACAACAATCCTACCTCATCGCTTTCATCGGAGTCAGAGTCCTCCCCCATAGATTCAGTTTGTACTGACTTCTCGACTAACATAGGAGGAAGTGGTCGTCTTACTGTTTTTCTCTGAATTTCGACAATCTAAAAATAACTATCTATATGATAGTGTCAGCCAAACATGGTAATTATTAATATCTATTCAATACACCTTCGGCTTCTTCACAGATGGATTTCTTTTCACTTCTTCGTCATCCTCATCCTCATAGTATTCGTCATCGTCCTCTTCGGAATCATGAGAGTCTTCGGAGAGTAACTAAAAAAAAGTAACTAAAAAAGGAAGAGAAGAATTACTATCGTAATCCTAGACTTCTGCAGTTTTCCTAATTATCAAGTGATCTGGCTAGGGAGTTGGCGTAGTCGTTAGTGGTAGAATACGTCAGGAAGCAAGGTTCTGGTTCGACCCCCTCTCCAACATCTCTAATTCAATCCAAGTGGAAACGCCTAAGCTGGGCTATACCCACCATTGCAAGGAGTATAAAGAAATTAGACTAGACCAACACTCCACGACATTCATAAAAAGAGAAAAACCTTAAGTAACAGACAAAAAGTGAAATGTTAGAAGACCTTTGTTGACGATTAATGTGTGAAAAACAAATCGAATGCAAGAAGTGATGGGATCGGTACAGTAGATGTGACGAAAAGCCATGCGTAAAAAAAAGTAAAAAAAACCAAGTGAGTCAAATAAACACCAGCAAAATGTGTACTCGTCGTTGTCACTCATCAGACCTGCACAGCTCAATTAGATCAAAAACTGCGAAAGAACCACACTTTTTGCATGGGTGAATTTACCTTTATTGACTTTGTTGGCGGACCTCTAGGCTCTACCACAGAGGTTTGGGTATTGTTGTTATAGCCATATTGTTATACTCTTTTGAAACAACCTTAGTGGTATATGTAAGAAAAAAAGGCACTTAAAGCTGCACCCACCTTTGTCGGTTCATGAGTAGTCTGACGATTCGTAGTGGTAGTAGTAGTGGGTGTTGTCACTGCTGGTGCCTTAACATCTAGCTTGGCACTAGGATGGAGCTTTTCATAAGCTTCCTGGAAAATAGCATATTTAAGTGGTATTTTTTGACTGCAAGCAAAATGAGTACTTTGTACAGATCCACGAGTTTCTTATTCTTCGCATCACTGTCCAAGGAATTTAGCGCATCGATTGCACTGTCAGATAATTCAGGTGTATTTTCACGCCGGAAATCGGACCAATAAGCAACTGAAAATATTTGACTGTTAATTGCTGGACATTTTCGAAAAGAAACCTAAAGAAGGTACCATAATTCATATTACTTTGCTTCAGTTTTTCTCCATTGAGGTAAGCATAGATAGATTAATAAAAAAGAAAATATGCATAGAAAAAAATAAAAGAATAAAGCTCTCCGCGTTGATCAATCCCTGAGAGATGCACCATGCATTCGACTTCACTAAGCATCGTTTGGAGGTGATTGAATGCATATCTGTGCATTGCAATAACTCCCGGTGGCCTATCGATGTATCAAGTCAGTGCTGCTATCCTCCGAGACAAGTCTGGTACCAATTTGGCAACTCCAGAGGGATGCAAGGCTTGGTGGGCCATAGACACCGAGATCAATTCCACGTGTGTGTTGTAGGGCGCCTCCGACCACTGCGTCACACGCGCCCTTGTGTATATAAACAAATATAAAGAAATGCACAGAAAAATCTGGTGCTGAAGCAATACGAACATGAAGCATTCAAACAATGAAATAAATCATTGTTATTATTGATATTCCACCTAGCTGCTTACCAGCGATTGGTCGCACTTGACTCTCTAGATCCGGGAAGTCACGAAGCATTGCCAGAGTACCATTGATGCGCAAGTCGATGTACCTGCAGATTGTTTTCATGTTCGTATTGATACTGGTACTGACATTGATGGCCGATTATATCACAGATAGATGAAGCTCAGACACCGAACCTTAGTCTATGTAGGACCGTGGGTTTGAACGCTGCAGCTTCAGCTTGATCCACACGTAGTAAATGACGGTATCGATTAATAGTGTGAATTCGGTCCTTTTCCTCAGATCTTATATATGTCTGCAAACAAGGAACTTTTTTCGCATGCTTCGAATCCAGTACAAAACCCCTTCGTTGTTGCAAATCAAATCTAAAACCTTAAGCGTTTTCAGAACATGGTGCTTGTTAGCAGATTTGTCATGCATAGCAAGTGCTTGCCGATAGTCGTGCGTGGCCTAAATGACTTCAAGATTAATATTTCTGGTTTTATCCTTCAACAGAAAAAACTACCAATGTTATCGATACTTGACAAAGTATAATAGGTAATTCGAAAAGCGAAAAACGAGCTCACAGTTCTCTTCTTCTCATTGAGAATTGCCTGAACGCGTTCCTCGTGTGTAGTCTCGAGCTGCTTCTTAAGACGCTTGTGCTCGTCTTCAAGNCATTGATGGCCGATTATATCACAGATAGATGAAGCTCAGACACCGAACCTTAGTCTATGTAGGACCGTGGGTTTGAACGCTGCAGCTTCAGCTTGATCCACACGTAGTAAATGACGGTATCGATTAATAGTGTGAATTCGGTCCTTTTCCTCAGATCTTATATATGTCTGCAAACAAGGAACTTTTTTCGCATGCTTCGAATCCAGTACAAAACCCCTTCGTTGTTGCAAATCAAATCTAAAACCTTAAGCGTTTTCAGAACATGGTGCTTGTTAGCAGATTTGTCATGCATAGCAAGTGCTTGCCGATAGTCGTGCGTGGCCTAAATGACTTCAAGATTAATATTTCTGGTTTTATCCTTCAACAGAAAAAACTACCAATGTTATCGATACTTGACAAAGTATAATAGGTAATTCGAAAAGCGAAAAACGAGCTCACAGTTCTCTTCTTCTCATTGAGAATTGCCTGAACGCGTTCCTCGTGTGTAGTCTCGAGCTGCTTCTTAAGACGCTTGTGCTCGTCTTCAAGTGAGGCAACAGTCTGAAAATTGATAAGTTCGGAGAAATGTTCCTAATGACGAAGTAACTTATAAAAGTTACTTCAGAATTGAACGATACATTTATGTGCATTTACCAAAGAAAATACAAAGTTTGTGTGAATAATGCTGAAAGTGAACAAGAAGACAGCTTTTTGTTAACCTGTACTTCAAGTGAAGGAAATTTACAAATGTATCCCAAAAAGCAAGAAAAAAAAGAGGGTACGAAAATATTGCTCACGCTAAACGGCATTGTTTTGAAGCGATATATGGGGAACGTGTTGTAAAACTGATACATTTCAAAACACAATTTCTGTAAACTAAATGGCATACCACCCACAACGAATGTGCAATAGTGTTGACGCGGTATTTTGTTAATTGCAATTTTGCTGATCTTAATAAGAAACCTGACCGATGGAACAAGAGCAAAAATTCAGCATAACTTATTAACTTTCCTTAAAAGTATACGACAGAAACAAGCCTGCGGCTAAGTACAACTCACTCTCTGGAAGCGATTTGTCATGGACACCTTAAATGACTCGGCTCCTTTAGCATCCTTCTTCTTCATTTGTTGGTAGCGTGCCTCCAGTTCTCCCCATTCCTTCATAACCTGAAGTAAAACAACATTGTGCGCTAGCATCATATTTAAATAACTGCTTTAATGTCCGAACAGAGTAAAAGAACAAGGAGGAATACTCACATTTCGCTAATATTGTGTTTTTAACCTCTACTCTAAGTTATTAGAAGCTAATAAGGAAACTAATCTGAACAGTGACCTTATCAATTTTTTCGCGATGTTTTCTATCGAGACGCTCCTCGGCTTCTTTGAAATTCTCGTGTTCGTTAGCGGAGTCCTTAATCTTGAAGTATGGATCTTGGTCTTCTGAGGACTTCTCAATGGACGCATCTGTAATTATGAATTTTAACATAATTCAGTTCGAAGCATCACAGTTATTCCAGAATCTACTAGAATAATAAAATTTAACCCTCGTCGCTGTCATCGTATTCGTCAACATATTCTTCGTCCACTTCATCTCCTTTTAATGGCAATTTCGAATGTTCAGATAATCTTGCGCCAACGGAGGGAGAAGTAATCTTGTCTGAAAATATGTTTCCTCTTTCAAGTCCAAACACAGATGGTGAGAGCAAAACTGTTTGTTTGTTTGTTGGTCCTTCCATTAATTTTAAAGTCGCCTGTAGGGCAAACAATATAGAGGTGGTGCAGAAATAATTGTGAGAGTACTCTCCAGCTAAAGTATACTATTTAAAAATGTTTCGCACTTATTGAAATCTATAAAAAAGTGCCCTTTTAAGGGCAGATATACTCTATGAAACAGAAAAAGACTATAAAACCCAAGGAATAATACTAGTAGATTAGTGCAAACGTCAGCGAATAGGAAAATTGTGTTTCTACAAATTTTACAGCAATATGAATTTAATAACCGGCCGCAAAATACGAAGAGTATGCAAAGCATTTCGTATGTGGAGTTTCTTTTTCCACATAAGGAAATAACTAACTGGTAAATGAACATGGCAAATTCAGGAACACAATGAAACTACAGACCTTTGGCGAATTTGAATGTGCCTATACATGACTGTGCTGCTTGGTCATACTGATTAGGGTGAGCCCACCACACAACACAGTCATCATTATATACATTGGACACCACTTAAACAGCAAGTACGACCGACTCACATTAAAATTTCTGTCACAGTGATTCTGGTGATTTTGTTCTCCATCGAGATATGATGGGAAAATGAATACGTACTTCATTTAACAGTGCAGAATCTGCGGTACTGTGCTGATTGCTGAATAACAGCCAAAAAACGCGATTGCGTGGATCTGTGATATGGTTAAGACGACGAGAGTGATGTCATGAGTGCTCAGTATATCAGAAATGAGTGGTGTGTAGATGTGGAAACGATTACAATGGAAACATACCGACAGTTGGGCAACACACAAACTCAACACCAGTGAACAGATCGAGGCTGCATGGCTCGAGGACAGCAAATGAGCGAACAGTCATCGCTTTCCCATTAAAAGTCTGAAACGTAGAGGTGTTCTGAATTCGATGAACAATCAGAATAACGTTCACTTTTTATTTCCTGCCTACTATAATTTTTTATGGCAGGGTATTATGCGAAATACAACCACAATGATGCAGAGATATTTGCAAAACTCCGGTCCGCAGGTGTCTGCAGTGGGGAACGAACGCGCTATTACCCTTTCCGGGTGCTAACGCATTCACCAGCACACCATGCGGGCCTTCATTTCACCTGTCTCTCAGAAGGGCTCGCATGGTGTGGTGGTGAACGCGGTACTCTCCGGAAAGGACAATAGCGTGTTCGCTCCCCACTGCAGACACCTGCGGACCGGAGTTTTGCAAATATCTCAGCTTCATTGTAGCTGTGTTTCGCATAATCAGAACAACATCCAAACATACCTTTCCCACGCACTGCTTTGTAGCCACATCTCTCCAGTGTTGGTAGTCATTGCATGAGTCGCCAGAATTGACGTGCGAGAAGCGACAGTCATGTGGTACTTGTAGAGCTTCTGACTTGAACTCGCCATCTGTATAAAACATTTCAAGCTTATAAGCTTAAGCTTTTAAACTTATAATACATAAAATAGATGTGATACCACTGACTGTTAATTCCACTATTCAGCAGCTATAGCATCTATATCTATCTCATCTAACACGGCTCACACATGACATTGAAAGACTGCGCACAGAAGTCAAACTTCAAAACTAGAGAGTGTGTGGTTATGACAAAAACATTTGCACTGAGATCAACTTCAACACATTTTGAAAACAGCACTATATGGATAAAGGAGAAAATAAATGAATACTATCTGCCTGACGTATGTTGTAGAAGCAGCAGCAAGCTGATAACTAAGCGTGAGAAACTACGTATGGATATGAAGAACGTTCCTAACCCTTAGGTGTCGAAATTTTCCAGTTAACAAATAGAGTATTTCACCTTTGCTTTTGTTTTGACTTCCCAGTCAGTAGAAACACCAGAATGAAAATCTTTCAAGGTCAATCTGCACTTTCCCATTCAGGTATTAGAATAAATGCTTCTGTCAACCTCAAAATGCGTTGATAATCTCATTATAACTCTCCTTCCTTTCTGTATCCTACCTTCTTTCTCACTGTTTTCCCCTCTCTCCCTCCTCTCGCATTTTGCGACTTTTATTGTTGAAGCGGCGTCAGAGTCATTTATCGTTGACGTTGTGCTGTCTAGAACACTCGCTGGTGCACCAGAAGAAAGAGAATAATCCTCTGTGTAGTCATTTCTAGAAGTTTTCTCCATAAAATAAATTGTTCTCCCATATTCAGCTCTTCTATGCTCCAAGTACATAGTGAGGAAAAATGCTGAGAGTGGTGCCAATTTGACAAAGTTATTTGCTGAAAAGAGTAAGAAACAAAAGGGAGATCCTAATGCCGAATAAGTCTTCGCCGTCAAAACGTGCTTAAAACAGTAATACAGAATTCGGGTATCGCGTCAAAAAAAATTGTAGGGAAAACAATATTTCTTAAACAACTATGAATTCGTGTCAGATAAATATAACAGATTTGATAGCAGTTGAGGACAAGGAGTTTAGTAAATGATAAGGTTTACGCTAAAAATCTTAGTTACTTCCATACCCATATTAATCTCTATTTGAAGAAATCCATGTCATCACCAGATGACGACGTGACCCGTGTAACAAGTTGAGTGTGCGTTCTCAATCGCCAATAAGTCTGCTAGCAGTCGAAGTATTCCCATTTCGCCATTCCAACTGGGATTACAGGTTAAACCGCACACTGTGTGAAAAATAAAGCTTCACATGAATATGTTCCCTATTCTCGTACTTTAGAATAAGCTGTGAGTCAGCCGCATCTTGTTCAAGGAAAACATTTGAATCACTAGAATCGCCTGAATCACTATTTGATTATAACAATGTTACCTCTCCATGAACTGCTGAGTGAGTGCACCAAGGGAAAAAGACATCGAAAACCACGGCATGAAAACGTATAGAGTTTTAAACATTAAATAGAAATCTCCTATCCTACGAAAAATCGTAAATTTCCTTCATGAACATGAAGAAAGCATGAAGAAACATAAAAAACGCATGGAGTTTCACTCTAACCTCTAAGCCAACTAGAACGATGATTTCACAATTATCGTCTATTCTGCATTAGTTCTTTCAGCAGTCATTAAATAGCACCTTCATTCAAGCTCTTATATAGTTAAGGAAAAAGTGGAACACTGGATGGCATAACTTCCACGATCATATAATGAAAAAATACGTAGACGTGAAAAATTGGACATACATACCGATGCACTGATACGGTCGAACGGTGTGTGTCCATTTGCACGGTGAGCCTTCCTCACGACACCAGTTTTCGATGGAGACTTCGTGAGAATATTCGACGATATTCGTGATATTTAACTTTGGGTAAGCCTAAAAAATATCATGTTGTGTATGTGTATATATACATATATATGTACATATATACATGTATGCGTACATATATATACATGTATACATGTATACATATACATATATATATGTATATATGTACATGTACACATGTATATATATACATATATATATACCACAAATGAATCTCTTTTGATGTTTCCGTTCTCATTCCGCTATTGGATGTACAATGCTTTTGCAATAAATACCAACTCTCAATAATTTTATAATAATAACAGTAATAGTAATAATTATAATAAGTATAATAGTCATAATAATAATAAACGTATGTTCACATTTCAGCAGAGATATCTAGCAAATTGCACATTCATTTCGTATCACATGACTTGATGAGAAACAGGAATGAGTGGGGCTGCGAATGCAGTGCTGTAAATGTCATCGGTAGAATGAAGTCGTATGAGTCGATAACAGAACAAACGTTACAATCCATACGATTGGAAGTGTTTTCTTCTCGTACTCAGCTTTTGTTAACAAAACTAGCGGAAAATTATGGATGAGTGCCTCAGAATAGGCGGCTTTTTTTTACGTAAAAGGAAGCTGAGATTGTATTTTAACACTTGTGAAACCATGCATGAAACCCATTATCACACAATAACCCACAAGAAGTTGAACTTGTACGTTGATATAAAGAATCTTTCCATTCCTACAAATGGATACACTCATTAGTGAAGAGATCTACAAGAACCAGTAAACACTTGTGTATTCAGGGACACGACGAGAACCATGAGTTTTCTCAAACTTAGTTAATGCTAATTAATATTACAAATTACCCTTGAGGTATGATAATTGTTCACATGTTTGCTTTGACGTTTGGTTGTAGCATAGTAACAAACAGCCTATGCTGCAAAACCAATACGTTCCCAGGAGAAAACTGGTATGCATAAAATGCCACTGACGCATGGAACCAAAACCAGAGCAAATTTAAAACAAGCATACAAATTAGTGAAGATATGATAACGTCAAAACAAAATACTTCCAAATCACATGTACCACCAGTTTACACTAACGACGACAAATATAACAGTAGGAGAATGTGCTATTATAAATACAAAAACTATAGACTATACGTAAATATATTAATCCCTTCAAAAGCGCCACAGTTTTTCATGCCATACTTTCATTTCATAACTTCCTGGCTCGCACTAGGGGTCATAAACCGCACATCCAATTGTAACAATCGGCAGCAGAACTTGGGGAACCAGTTAGAGTACTCCCTGGAGGATCTGTATCTGTTTGCGCGCTTTACAAGACTAAGCCATCAGGCTCTGCAAAGCTGGGACAGCACGTTAACATAGTGATATTACGCAAGTACACCCGCTCATATGTACTGATGAGCCATACTTACACTAAGTATTCCTGCTCTCTAGTGAAGTATGATAATGGGTAGATGTCAGAAACAATCATCAATAACTGCAAAAAATCGTCATTAGTTCCAATCATAAATGAGAAAAGAGATGCCGATTCAGACCATATTATGGGATCTGGGAACCACACAATGGACACGTGGTGTTTTTCTGTGAGGAACGAATTCTCTAGTCTGAGCGATAGAATTGTGTGATGCTGAGCGAAAAAAGAGCTGTAGCTTAAAGGTGAAAGATATATGCCATAGTGCTTCTAAAACTTTTTTTTTAGTTTTAGATAGACAGATAGAAATACTACTATCGTCACACCCAAAAATACCCGCAGAAAATGGACATTCTTTGCTCCAATTCCTATTAAGTGGCCGGTTTGACCAGCTACGCGAAAGCCACCTGGGTTAAAAGCACTGTTGCCACGTTTCTATTCAGATCTATTTTCACGGAAGTAGTCCGCAACAAAGATTATAAGTCCCAAATGTATTAGTGCTGTGGTTCGAAAAAAAACGTTACTATTCTGTGTTTCCAAAGACAAGCTCCTCACCTTTTTACAGTATTTGAGGATGTCCAGCTTTCCACTAAGACAAGTCGCATATCGATTCTCGTCGCTGATCCAAACTCCATCGTCGCTCATATATTTGTTACGATACCCACATTCAAATGCAACCAATGGCACGAATTTCTCGTGTTTTTTCGAAGGCGATCCATCGAGGGTAGCCGCAACACCCTAAATGGTTATCGAAATACTTGAAAGTCCAACTAGTCATTTAATCTCCATGAAATTAAGACCAGATCTAGAAATGGACTCCAGCTTCAAATAATTTGTTGCACAAAATAAAGTATTACTGTAGGGCAGATAGCCCCTTCATGAATTCACACTGAGCACCCTAATGCGACAACCTTACACGGTTTCTGACATACAACTTACTCGCTTTTGCAAAACAAAACAAAATCCAGTTGAAGAAATTCGAGCCAATTCAAGTGCATTTCTGAGTGGTGGGTTTTCACAAACGATTATTGAAATTGGTCTTAATTATTTCAAAGTGCTGTCATGTCGCAACATGTTGGCATAAATGGTGAAAAATGCCCATAGAGACGAATGTATGGTAATTTATGCATAATGGAAACGTCTCACAGCATGAGCACCCAAACATTGCCATCATACATGCCTAAGGAAGCCCATTCAATCACGACGTCAAACCGTGCAGCTGCACGCAACTTGAAGGCGAACGACGAAGCGCATTCCCCAGTGGAAAAGTGCTTCCACGTCAAATCACAACCGAATTCTTCAAACGTGAACGCTATCCAGTGCAAGCTCTGAGACATATAAGCGTCTCCGAGAGCGCAATATTCGAGGCTCAAGAACAAATCACAAGCTCCTTGAGGTTTATCGAGGTCGCTGGGTTTTCATCGATGTTATTTCCACCCCATACAATCAAATACTTGGGTGCGATATTACTATATTCTAGTTGTGATTGGTGAAATACTTCATGGTTAGATTCGATGAATGGTAGAATTCGATGCCTCTAACAGATTTTCATTGCCATGTTTTTATTTTTCTCGATTCCAGAAAAATAAACGAACTAAAACCTACATTTATATGTGCAGTGGTCGATAATGGTATTAATACGCTGAGTATCAGCATATTACCCACCGCCATGGCTGAAAATCACACCATTATAAAGAAGGATAGCATAATGAAAAAGGAATGGAACAGTAGCACATGGAATAATCGCAGAGAAAACGCCGATCTCCGGATTAAAGGAATTCCCGAAAAGAAAAACGGGAACAAAGACAATCAGTGAAAGATGTATTAACTCTGAGTACGAAAGAGGATGAAATTTATGGCATGAGGTGAAATCGATGATGTTAAGACAGCGTGTGAGGAAGGATAAGGGGCGGGATTGTGTGAGTGAGGGAGTGAGAGAGCAAGGCGTCCCGAACCGCCTCTAGCCGCCGATAGCTCTGTTACCGTAACAACATCCGAAGGGGACAGACGATGATTGCTGCGTTTGAAGCAGATAATCAAAATACCTACCAACTGCCAACTCATACTTCCTGTTTCCGATGTTACAAAAAAATTAGTGGTAGAAGAGAAGTAACGAGTCAGGCTTAAACATGTGTAATAATGACACCGCAGAAAAAATGTAGACACTTAGTGATCACGTCAAGAATCACCGATAAATCCCTTCAGTATTTTCCCATGTGAACGGTGGATGAAGAAACTAGATTACTGCTTAAGCTGTAAAAATCGGAGACACATGAACGTCATACGAATGTGAAGAAATGAGCAAGAATGTGATGGGCGAATATCTGAAAACGACTGAGCACATTCATCATCAATGATTTACCAACCCCTAAGATCCAGAACTACGTTCAAAACATCGGAGCAATGGTCGATACTTAACAGCGCTTTATATTTCGCAATAATGTTAGCTAACGACAAGACGGATTAACTCTATGAAACGCGTTTCATAAGCAATTAGCAGCAACCAACAATAGAAATAAACGACTATTAGCATGTTTAGTAAAAAGTGATACCCTCATTTTCACCTCAAAGTTATTTCGGAAATAAACATCGGGCCTGGAAGTTTCTTTTCTCCCAAATCCATGTAAGGAAAACATGTGTGACTTAAGAGATATGGTCACCTGTTGTTGTTCTATTGTACAGATAAATTAAGCGACTCGTTGATATTGATAACCTAATAGTACCAGCAAAACCAGCTCGACCACTGTCCCTTAGGCTGACGAACGAAATCCGAATCTAATTCGAACTCTTTTGACGCCTATTAACTTTGTCCTCCATAGATGTGAACCGATAAGAACGATGAAAATAGTTCAGAAATTTGTTATGATATTGCATTTGTTTTGTAACCAAGCAAAGATTCCACTGATAAAAACTGAATGTGTGAGATAACAGATCCTGCATTGCTACAGAAATCCGAGAGAACAGAAACAAGAAAATGTCAGTCATGTTCTTGTCACGCAGAGACTTTGGAACGATGAAAAATCGCCAGAAACAAAACAATACCTGATTCAAGATAGGATACTGAAAAAGAACAATCGCCAGTTAGTTGAAGAATACCATCTGTCAAATATTCAAGCAGTTTGGTAAAACCCTACAACACGTAGGTATAGATTTGTTACGGAAAATGGACGAAAAAATAACTGTAGATGCTAAAATGTGGCATTTGCTGTAGAAATCAATCAAGTTATCATCGGTTAATAAATCAGACCGGTTGTGATGCGGTGACGGAGGATACGGCCGCCCCAGCGTCATTGTCACTAACGAGTCTGTTCAGCTGATATATAAGTAGCATCCTAATTTTCTATGTCATCTAAGCAATCTGTGACAATTTGCTAGATATTTCATATGAATGCGGCCGCACGTTGGTTCCGAAATTCTCATGAAACAATCGAATATTTCCCATAAAGCGAACTATCAGAGCTATTCAGCCTATTAGAATAAGATATACGGACAAACATTACAATGCAACAGCGTAGCATGTGTTAACGAGTAAAACGAAAGACATAAATGTTAGTCGTACGAGTCACATAGTCGTGGGACGGAGGGTGAAATCGAAAATATCCCAAACAGTGGGTGAGCAGCAGGAAGAGTTAACTGAACAGGAACAATGCGAAAAACACATTCACAGACATCTTAATTAAAAGTCAAATTCCAAAAAAAAAAATAACCACTTATTTTGACCACCTGCAACCCCGTTAAAACGTCGAAAACTGAGTTAGAATTTCCAATCGTAGTCCAAACTCTACCTACTAGGTTTTGTTCTATGGGCAAATAGAAACTGCATCACACCTTTTGTATGAGGCCGCTCACTTTCATCGCTTTTATCTAAATAGTACCCAGGTGCAGCTCATTAGGTTTCATATGTGTACTGAGTATATTTATAACTATGTAATAGGGTTCATCCGGAGTAAATGTGAGTCTATTTGTTGAAGACGAGCGCGAAACGCATTACCATGTAGTCCTTTGATTACAGGCTTTTGGCCGAATGCAAATTTGCCTTGTCAAATGAACCACGGATAGTCTCTAATAAAACACTTCACTCTGCGGATGGAAAAACCAAACACGAAGTACACACCTATTTATTTGATTTTCTGGAGATATTTGTCAAAGCGAACATAATTTAGTGTAAGGTGACAGTGCAAGAGGTTCCACAATTACGACTTGTTATCAGAAGCGGAAAGCAGAATCACCTCCGCCCTAAACTCTTGCACCAAACTAAATCGACCTGTGTGTATGTTGCGAACGTATGACAGTTAACTAAAGGATGTGACTCAGAACGCCAAATCACCAAACATTGCCTTCAAAACGCTGAACATTAGCGCTGACAGCCGTACTCTAGCGCACGTACTCATCTTGAAGGACGATTTGTGGGGAAAAATAGTTATTGCCATAAATACTATCACCAATAGTTAAATCGGCTCGATAGTCGATAAATTCCATACAATTTGAAAAGATTCCAAAAAATTATAGAAATCATCAAACGCAGTCTAGTGCTTACTACTCGCAGAATTGGACGAAGCTCGTCTACTCTCCCTTTATTTCTCCACTCAACCGTTTTTATAGCAGCGATTTCTAATGAACTGGTTTACAGCTAGCAACCCAAGGGTTTTTAAAGAAGGTACCCTCAGATAAACCTTACCAAATTCGATCACCAAACATTAGTTGATCGATATTGTAATGTAATTTAACTGTTAATAGTAACAGCAACACACCAAATTGAATAAAAAAGGGAAACCACGACCGTCATTTTTAATAGCTGAGCGTGTCCTCTGTAGTACCCTAAAAAATATGGATCTCGGAAACTGAACAGTAATAAATATTTCAGTGTAACTGTAAGCATGTCAAAGATCTGTAAAGGATAAAACCGTCTCAGATGTAACGACAAGTCTCAAATAACATCCTGCTTCCACTGAGATTGAAATTACGAAAGTCATAATGAGTGCGAATTCGACTGCGTTCTTTTAAAACAAATGATCGATACTAAGCACTGGAATAACGCTTACTGCAAAGATGCAGCAAATCCAATGTATAATTCCTGTTGGAAGTTTGTGACAAAGGTGGAGATAGAAACTCTCAATCCTATTCTCACATGTTCGGGAAACATAGTGGTGTTGAAGGCCAACTGCGACGGCAGTCACGGTCATGAATCTGGCTCGACTCTCATGGATAATTGTCATAGTCAAAATGAGCGATCATAGTTGCCTGTGCACAGCACAATCTGTAGTATTCGATAGCATTCGGATACCGAGTTAAAGTGGTTATGAGAATTTTCCTATTAAGATATGGAAGACGAAACCAGTCAGAATCAAAGTGACCCAACTATGAGGCAGAGGTGTGAGTAAAAAAGAAGACGAGTGGTAATGGTGGTGGCGGTTTCGCTATCGACATTAGCCAGAGCAACGTTGGTGGTAACGGAACATAAGATACGTTATGCAGATACGGCAAACGACATAACTGATAGTGTGGGAGACGACGGTGATAAAATGATGAAACGACGACACTGCACGCACACCAATCACCCCAATCAACGAGAACGAACGCTAATAAATTGTACTTGGATACTTTGCTGAGTGGGCCTCTCGTGCAAAAACCACTGAACCATGAATGAAAAAACTGAACCTCTTCACGAACTTGCATATTGTAGTTGCGCAGCGAGCGATCTCTCTCTCTCTCTCTCTCTCCCTATGCCAACTCCTCTCTCAAATGCTGCTGGTTCCAATTCGTGAATCGACCATCACTAACGCACTACGTGCTGAGCGAAAATGCCGGGAAATAATCCTGGACGCAGAAATGAACTGTACACAAAGTGATCGTTTTGAAAACAAAGCATGCAATTAGTAAAAGTAATATCGTAGACGGACCAGCACTTCTCATAATGTGGTCTCAAATGACTGACTAAATAATATATGGTTACAGGTGAAATAACTCAAGTGTTCCATCATTTAACCCCCCCCCAGTCATTTAGCAGTGCAGATGTAATTCTCGAGTATCGAAACCGATGTGCATCATGTATGCCACATTTCCCAACGAAATGGGATTTGTGCTCGTGATTGTTCATGCGTGAAAACAAAAATGTGCGTTTGTGAGTATAGTGGGGGAAATGAGGACAAGAGACTGATGCTGGTAACAACAACGTCTAGTCCACTGGCTGCAAGCGACCGATACTAATTTCATTTATCTGTATTCTCGGCAAACCAGAAAACGAGACGAGCTGCTAACACGCTTGCAAAATCCATCAGATCCATTCAGAGCGATGAAATCTAGCAATCGAGCACAAATATTGCATGCTAATCATATC